AGAGGAGCTATTATCTCCTCTTACTAAACAGACTTAAAACCCTCACTCCTGTAGAACGTTAAATGCTGCAGGCAGAATTTTAATTCCACAGATGAAACGCTGACCGATGCAATCTTTCATACTTGTCTTCAAGTCTCAACGGCAACGCCAGTCTCACGCATGCAGAATCTCGCTGATGTCTAACTCCTCACCATCCTCACCTTCCTATTTTCCGACCACACTGAACCACATGAAGCCACCTCGGGAAAGCCCAGGTTGAAATCCTTACCTCTGTGCGTTCACTGATATGGATGTGAAAATCCTCAATACAAATAATAAAACATGGCTCTTTACGATGTTCCCATTGGGTGTCACGGACTTTACGTACATTGTTTTCAATCTTTAGAACAACGTTCAAGGTAGGTATTATACCCATTGTATAGGTAACAGAGTTGAGGCTCAGAGAGACCCAGTCACTCACCCAGAGTGAGTGATGGCCAAGTGGTGTGACACCCCCCACCGCCCTCCAGCACCGCCCTGTCCCAGTCTTTCCGCTCTCGACATCATGCCTCTAATCAGCTTTCGGAGGTTCTTGGCCTCATCATCCTTGATCCGCTTATTCCGCACCGCTGCGGAATAAAAGGTCCAGAGAGAAGCAGCAATTTACATTTGATCACGGAAAACACTTGGCCTTCTAACTTCACCAATTTAGTGGGATTCAAGGTGAAGATGGGCTTTCTGGCAGCCGTCTGATTCTACTCCCATCTTTGCAAGGTTGATTGACAGGAGGCTGCTGCTCTGATGTGCTAAGATACCTAGGTAGGCATGCCCATTCCAGGGCCTCTGCTTGCCAGGTCCAATATTTAATAGCCGTGAGACCTATTTTGTCCTATTTCATGTATTCAAACTCTCTCCGCATGCCAAGTGCATTAGCTTTTATTCTGACCACTAAAGACTTGGAGAACAGCGGGTCACTGCCATCTTTATAAATACCCTTCATATGGTCTAAGGCGTCATTGTCCAAGAGAAATAGACTGTGAGCCACATACGTGATTTTAAATGAACTAGCAGTCACATTTTTTTTTTAAAAAAAAGTAAATAGGTTAAATTCATTTTAATAATGGATTGGGTTCCTCTGGATACCGTAACACACATCAGCACAAACTTGGTGACTTGAAACAATGCATTTCTTTGTTGGAAGTTCTGGAAGCCAGAAAATTCAGCAGCACTGGGCGGAAATGCAAATGTCAGCAGGGCTGCACTTTCTCCAGAGGGTCTAGGGAAAGTATTGTTCCTTGTCCCTGCTAGAGCCTGGTGGCTGCTGGCATTCCTTGGCTTGTGGCCGTGCCCCTCCTGTCTCTGCCTCCATCTCCACCTCACTTCCTCCTTTGTGTGTGTGTCTAACCTGCTTGTACCTTCTTCTTACAAGGACACACGCGATTCCATTTATCTCGGACCTACCGAGATAATCCAGCACAATCTCCCCCTTAAACTTTGAATATCCTTAACTTTCATCCCAGCTCCAAGAATCTTTTTCTAACTAAGGTAATGGTTTCAGTTTCCAAGGGGTTAGGACCTGATATATATTCTTTAAATTTTTATTTACTTTTTTTTCCAGCATACTATGGAGGTACAAATGTTTAAGGTTATGTATATTTGCCCTTGCCTTCCCTCCCCCGAGTCAGAGCTTCAAGCATGTCCATCCCCCAGACGATGTACATCGAATTCATTATGCATATATATCTATCCTCTCCCATCTGCCTGACACCCGATAAATGTTATTCCTATGTGCACTTAGCTGCTGATCAGTTAATACCAGTTTGCTGGTGAGCGCACGTGGTGCTTGTGTTTCCATTCTTGGGACACTTCACTTAGTAGGATGGGCTCCAGCTCCATCCAGGAAAACACAAGAGGTGCTGGATCACCGTGTTTCTCAGAGCTGAGTAGTGCTCCATGGTGTACATAGACCACATTTGATTAATCCACTCACATATTGATGGGCACTTGGGTTGTTTCCGCATCTTTGCAACTGTGAATTGTGCTGCTATAAACATTCGAGTGCAGGTGTCTTTTTCATAGAGTGACTTTTGATCTTTTGAGAAGATGCCCAGTAGTGGGATTGCTGGATCAAAAGGACCTGATTTTTTTTGAAGGGACCATTATTCAACCTACTACCAACAATATATTTTTATTTGACCCAGTGTATATCCAGAATGTTTCTGTTCCAATACGTAATCAATATTCTATGCTAAATCTTCTAAACCCAGTGTGCTTTCTTGTACTTACAACACGTCTCAATCAGAATGAGCCACGTTTCAAGTGCTCGATAGCCACACGTGGCTACCATATTGATCAGTGTAGAAAGGAATGCTTTCGTTTTCTCATCTACGATTTTCTTTCCTTGCTCAGGAGCTAGGTAGCTCAACTAGCTTCTGAGCTAGCTGAGTTCAACTAGCTTCCTCGGTAAAGTTGTCCTCATTCAATTTTTTCCCCTTTTATCACGATGGGCAGATGTCCTGTCTTCTACCTCAAAGGATTGCTGTGAGGGTTAACGTATAAAAGCTATTTGGAAAATGTGAACTACCTCATGGTTCCTTCAAGAGCCAGCCACATTTACTGCCAAAGTGTCCTTCTTGGCATTCTGTAGTGGTAACATTGGCTCATTCACTCGTCCTAACTGGGACCTTTAACAAAACAGCAAATATGAAGGATTGAGGCCCCTCTGCAGGCTATAGTTGGGAGTTTGAGCAGTACAGCTGGTCATGGGTAAATACGAGGGATAATGGGAACAACGTTCAGAGAAACACTGAAATGTCCTCATTTCAGCATGGAAAACACTCATTCATTCGACAATTGTCCTGCGTCCCAGGTACAATGTGAGGTGTGCAGATGCAATGCTCTATGGTAACAAAAAAAAAAATACACATGGTTCCTCCCTCTCCCAGGGGCAGGCGTCCTCAAACTCCGGCCCGTGGGTGACATGTGGCCCGCCGAGCATTTTTGCCACCCGCTGCTTGTCCTGCTTAGCAGCCGACTGGTCCCGGGCCCGCAGTGCGCATGTGTGGACTGTGCACCGCACTCCCCAATGGCCCTCCAACAGTCTGAGGGACAGTGGAGTGGCCCCCTGTTTAAGAAGTTTGAGGACCCCTGGTTTAGAGCCTAGAAGAGAAGGTAGACATTAACTAAGAAAATTGCAACTGTAAACATTTCTACCAAGGAGCAGAACGTGGTTCTTTCTCTAAAGAAAGGCGATTCCGTGTTGTCAAGGAGGTCGGAGAAGGTTTCCTTGAGGAAATGATGATGAAGGTGAGCATAAGGAAAAACTTCAGTGAAGAGGCAGGGAGTGGACCTTGCAGGCCAGAGCAGCTCCTGCACAGGGACCCTTCCGTGGGAGGAATCAGGACAACATGGTGCACAAAGAGCAGGAGGGCAGAGAGGGAGGAGGGACTCGATCACGTAGACCAGGTGAGAGAGTTTTATCTTTTTTTTCCTAAAGTAAATGGTAAGCCACTGGCAAGTTCTGTGCTTGGGGAAGATCCCTCTGCTACAGCGGGAAGAACAGGCTGGAGGGGAGACAAGAGTAGATTCAGATGGAGCAGTGAGGGGCTGTCACAGAGGTTTAGGCAAAAGACGCTGGCATGGCACGGACGTGGGGTCATCCTGAATCCTCCGTTCCTTCTGCACCCCACATCTAATCCACTGGGGAATCTTGGACTGAATCCCCAGTGACCCATTTTTATCACCTCTAACGTTAAACTATAATCCCAGCCACCCTAATTTCTCCCCTGGATCGTATTAACCATCTTGTCTGTCTCTCTGCTTCTAATATTGACCCTATAGTTTATCCCACACACAGGAGCCAGAGGGATCCTTCTAAAAAGCGAGTCGATCCATGTCATTCGCAAGCCCAACACCCTTCCCTGGCTTCCCACCAAGTCAGAATAAAAACCCACCAAGTCTTTCAAGGTGCTAGACCAGGGGTCCTCAAACTTTTTAAACAGGGGGCCAGTTCACTGTCCCTCAGATTGTTGGAGGGCTGGGCTATAGTTGAAAAAAAAAAAACTATGAACAAATTCCTATGCACACTGCACATATCTTATTTTGAAGTAAAAAAAAAAGAAACAAACTGTGGCCAGCAGGCCATCGTTTGAAGATGCTTGCTACGATCCGGCCTCTATCAGATCTGACCTCGTCTCTTCCCACCCTCCCCTTTGCACGATGGGCCAAGCTTGCTCTCCTTTCAACAAAGCCAAGCGTGGTCCAAACTCATGGCCCTGGCAAATGCAGTACCCTTGGCCTGGAATACTCGTTGCTTAAACTTCTGTGTGGCCCCTCATCTGCGTCTCTGTTGAGTTCCTTGTCGGTCAGCTCCCTCGCCTAGAACTTCAGCTCCGTGTTGGGTACCCAGGAAGGTGAGGGAAGGCAGCCCAGAGGTGCCCGGGAGGAACGCATTCCAGGTTCCGGGAAAGGCAAACGCTAACCACTGGGGCAGGGGTGCGAGGAAGCCAGACAGGCTGGAGCCACGTGGGTGCAGGGCAGCGTGGTAGGAGGAATCTACTACGCCCCAGGTCACAAGGGTCAGCTGTCATCGTCCTTGCGTGCCCACCGTTACGAGGCCAGCGCTCTTAGTCTGAGATGAGAAATCGCTGAAGGAATCTGAAGCAGAGGAGTGGCGTGACCTCACTTACGATTTCGCCGATTTATTTTGAGCGCTATGCTGAAATCTGGCTTAAAGGGGGCAAGGGCAGGGTCAGGGAGTTTCGTGACGAAGCTGTCACAACGAACCAGGTGAGAGATGATGGTGGCTTAGACAAGGCTGGCAGCAGCCAAGCCATAGGAAGTATTCAGATTCTGAATAGATTTTGAAGGCAGACAGTGCCAGACTTTGATGGTCGATGAAACGTGTGGTGTGAGAGAGAGAGATTTGGGGGGCTGAGCAACTGGAAAATAGGGCAGTCATTAACCGAGATGGGGATGACTGTAGGTTTGGGAACAGTTATCCGCAGCTCAGTTTTAGATGTTGGCTTCGAATGACCATTTGACAGCTGTCTTGGTCAGCTTGGGCGGCTATGATGGAGTATCATTTACTGAGGTGGCCTGTAAAAAGCAGAAATTTATTTCCCGCAGTTCTGGAGGCAAGAACTCCCAGATGAGGGAGCCGGGGTGTCTGGGGTTCTGGGGAGGGCTCGCTTCTGGGCTGCAGACTGCCACCTTCTTGTCATATCCTGACGGGGCAGAAAAAGGGCAAGAGAGCTGCTCTTTGGGATCCCCTTAAAAGGGCACTAATCCCATTCCGGAGGGTCCCACCCTCATGACCTAATTACCTCCCAAAGACCCTTCTTCCAAATACTACCGCGTTTCCCTGAAAATAAG